AGTAAAAGTAGAATTAGTTTATAAAGTATGTATATATGTCTAATGAGATAGTTTTCCCACGAATTATTATTCAAAATCACATAAAAAGAACATTTAATCCCTCTATAGTCGATGTGGGAGAAACGGAATATAGAGTACCATTCCATTCTCATGATGTTGGTTAACTGAAGCATAAACAATATAATATAATAGCCTAACATTAAGTAAATCATTAATTGAAATGTATAAGACTCCGATATCATTTTATATAAAAATAAACATGACTTAATTGTATAAAAAATGTTTATACCAATAGTATATATAATTCAAACTCTACTAATTAAGAATTAGTGAAAGTGGATACTTACATAATTACTTGAGATAAGCAGTTTGACAGGAGGAGTAGTTGATGACAACTTTTGACTATTTCTTAGTGGAGTATGCCTGAAATTAGAATTTAATAAAAAGAAGAAAATTGGATATAAGTTTACAACTAAGAAAATAACTAAACCATTATAAACCTTTTTAAAAGAACATAAAATTAATGTGATATGTAGTATTTCTCTAATACTAATACACTTCAAAACAAAATGTGAAGAGATATTATATGCAAATTAATATCCCATATTACTACATGTTTAGTTTACATAGACAATGATTTGAAAGTAATAGTCTTATGCTGCCTCTTACTTTCAATTTTGTTAACTTAATTTCTAATATTTTGATTTTCGTTATTCTGACTAATTCGTACTGAAGTGATAAAAAACACATTTTATTGTGAAATTCATTATTTCAGAATTTAAACTCCGAGACTAAATTATAATTAACCGTGAATGGAAATTACCAACTTGATTTTATTCCATTTTACCACATAATAAATATATTTTAACATGCATGCAAGTTGTCATAAAGGTTGGCTAAATTGCCATACCTATGGAATAGGTTGTTCAATTAATTCTTACAATTTTTGTAAAACTAATTATGTTCAAGATCTAGGGACAATGTGAAAGAAGAAATGGTAGAATCAATTAACTTATGACTAATTTAATGCTAGCTAGAGAAAATAGTACTTAAGTGGATGGAACTTTTTTCAATTGTGAGTTATGACTTCTTTTTTTAAAAAAAAACCTTTTTAGGATATTTAGTATAGTCTTCATTACATGAAAGTAAAAAAAGAAATAAATAAGTAAAATTAAATTCTTATCAATTGTCATGTTTGATGGCTATAAATTAAATCAAATTAGAAATGCTTAATCATATCATATATAGAATCTATGCAAGATAAAGAGTTTGAAATAACAAAAGATGGAGGCAATATTTTTCTTCATATGATAAGAAAAATGCACCAACATCGTAAATTATAATACTCATTTCACCGATTTTTTGTTCGGATTTCGATAGTATCGAAACCCTATATAAAACTATTTATTTCGTACCTAATTAAATAAAATAAAATATCATATGCATCTCATTTTAAGAAACTTATCAACCTAAAAGTATATCAATCTACTCGATGCGTCAATCGCGACCTTAATTAGATACTCAAAGACCTCGTTTTGTGACACATATTGTTTGCTTAACTAGGCTAGGTTGACATAAATTTGTCTTTTGGGCTACACCATATGGAACCCCAAAAGTTCACAAACTAGGTAAACTTAAATTAGGTCTTATAATCTCTTTCACTTAATTCTCACATTCAGACGTGAGATTTATCTAAAATATCATGTGTATCTCATCTTCATAAGTAAAAAATGCATCATCTAACATAGATAATGATGAATTCATAACTTTATATTGGGAAAAAAAAATAAGTTATCATAAAATTTACCTAAAATAGTCCGTTCTTGAACCATTAACAAGCAAGAAAAGATGGAAAACAACTGCAAAAAACCATAATACAAGATGTTGTAGTTGCCTCTTCCACCCTATCGTATTCTTCATTTTTTTAACTCTGCAACGCGAACCAATTAACGCCAACGTTAATGACTGAGTACAGAGTTTAAGAAAAAATAATTCACGATCTTAAATATGTATACCATGAAATCTCAGCATGGCTATATAAACATATCATTTATTAAAGAAAAAGTGAAAAAAAAAAGAAATTTGAAATCACATTATTTCCAAGTGTATAAAATATCATTTTAAAAATTAACTAAGAAGAGAATAATGTTGTTTCAAGGATATAAAAAATGATAAAAACTTTTATGTATCATGTGTTTACACCGAACTATATTAACTTATTACTGAGGTGAAATATATACAATAAAGAAGTGGACAAATAAATACATATCGTTCATCTATTAATTTGATATAAATATCGACAGTTGATAATTCGTCTTTACCAAAAAATGTTATTTGATGTTAAATAAATGGAAATAAGAAAAAAAGAAAAGTTGCATGCATACCTTAATAATCACTAGAAATGAAAGAAAAATTATAGAAATGAATTCTTTATAACTAATCTTCAAATGTATATATAGGCTTCGAAGCTTATAGGTATTAGATAGGCTTCGAAGCTTATAGGTTTAGATGGTCTAATATTTATTTATTGTAATATAATAGTGCAGTTAGTATATGAAAAATCTAGCTGAATCCTATACCAAAAAAGTGTGTTTTGTTTATTATATTATATTACATAGTATAGAAAATATAATTTCACGTTGAATAGAAGTTTGACTTTTAATTTATATTAGGTATTTAGGTATTTAGGTATTTACTGTTGACCAATGTGCTTTTTTAATTGGGCAAAAACGCAGACACAGGGTTTTTTTCTATACACGGCAATTGCTACAAAATATTAAAAAGAATATTAGAATCGTTGTAATTTTATATATTTGTGGTACATTTTTTTTCTTCACTTCTTGGAGAGTTCCAAAATATTTGACACAATTATAAAGTATCTACATAATTTTTCACAATTTTAAGTATTCAAATTAAATTAAATATGTAGACTTCAAAATATACATAATGTATTCTGTTCGTTTCAAAATAAGGATCACTTTTTCTTTTGAGGTGTCTGATCAATTTGTTAATATAATTATATCAGCTCGATATTTTTTCTAAAATTTAAGATTTGGATATTCAATAATTATACAAACAATACTATAGTATTGTATTTATTCTCATATCAATATAATATTAATAGAATTCACATTGAATCTCGAGAACGGAAAGTGATAAAATCCGTTCTAAATGCTTCTACAATTTCAGAAAATTAACGACAGGTGGAGACTATCATCGGCAATACATTTTGTTATACATCCAACAAATACTTGTAATTAACCCCTCTTGTTAAAATTAATTTTGTGTTTAATTTCTAATTAGGAACTATGTTTTTTTAATAAAAAATTGAAATATTAATTTATTTATGGAAAGTTGTACAATTTGGTCAAGTGAAGTCGTTAATGGATTTGTCAAAGTCTGTTTTGGTGGTTGGCCCTAACTTTAATTTGGTAAACATTCCACTCATTAACATGAAAAACACCCACAAAAAATTCTACAAATATACATTTATGGCTAAGAATTTGGAGAACTAACTTGTTCTAATTCAATTTTAATACATGTACTTTTGAAAAAAACAAACAGATTATTATTATTATTATTATTATAGGGTAGCCAACAATATTGTACCTCATATATATTACTCTTCCTTTGTGTTTTATCTATTGTTTAATTACCTCAAATAATATTGTGTATTTTTCAACTATATTTTATAAATTAGTTGGTCACAAGTGGCACATATATAGACTTGTCTGGCAATATGTGTGCATATATTTTTCTTTTCCTTCAACTTGTATATGGAGATCGACGTTTAAATCCGAGTAAAATTTAAAAAGAACAAAGAAAGAAATGGACATAAATAGGCATATGTAAATGTAGGGGTATGCACGGTACAATAGATACTAAAAAATTTATGTCACGATTTTGATATTATGATATTTGGCATGCATTTAATTAACAAAAATAATATTTGTTATTTTCTAATAAAATTATCAAAATGTTGAATATAAGTGAATTATATGGTAATATATACAATTTACAATATTTTATCATTGTACAAGTAAATATATAAAGTTACAGTTCTCCATTATATGTGTATATGTAAGTTGAAGTTGAATAAATTATGATTATTAATTTATCATATTGCAAAATATTAAGCAAACCACAAAATACAAGCGAACTATACCCTTCGGAGTGATAGTGACTCGGTCGTTCGGGCTTGGAACTTTCATGTTGGAGGTCTCGAGTTCGAAACTCCTTGCTTGCAAAACCTAGGGGCTTGTCTTCTGAGTCAAGCTCGTCTGCCTAGTGCAGGTTACCTCTCCTGTATGATTTGCAAGGTGTATTGCATAGGAACAAAAGTTTTACCACTTGCACACCCAAAAAGTAGCGACTGTGAATTTTCCTTGTCATTAAAAAAAGTTTTGAAAAATACAACCGAAACCACACCATATACAAACTATGATCTAGTATTTTGAAAAATCAAAATTTTCAATATCGTACTGTTACCCTCCCTTGCACTTTGTTTGGATCATTGTTACCCGTTGTTTCATAACATATTATACTCTATTGTACTGTATTATATGATGAAGACAATATTTGGCTAGATTGTATCGTTTGTTGTTGTTTAATAACATTTAATTTGTTTGGTTTGATTGTATCAAAATATTGTAATTTATAAATTTACAAAAATATCTTTAATTATTCTAGGGTAGGAGGTTTGACTAGATTTAAATAATTAAAGTAACGAGTAAAATAGTATTTTGAAATATTATGTAAAGATATAATTGAAAGACGAAATTAAGTAACAATGGAAATACACCAAATTAGTTATTCCATAAAATAGGGATTTTCTTTGTTACGTAACAACGCAATTTAGCAATACAATAGAATATCAAAACAAACATTGCAAATATAATAACGATACAATACAATACAATGGGGTAACAATGATCTAAACATAGTGTTAGTGGTCACGTGTTTGCTTCGTATGTACAATATGATGTATTTATTGATAATACTATTTATTGATAATACTTAGCTTTCGAAGCTCAATATAGTTAAACTTACTTACAACGACATCAATTGTTCAAATACTAAAAACACATAGTATAACATGACATGAAAAATTGATTTTAAAAAAAAGTTGACCAGTATAGTGAAATATAATTTATTTTGATAAAGAGAAAATGGTCAAATACCCCCTCAATGTATACCCCCGATTTCCAACTACACACTTAAACTTCACGGATGTCCTATCACCCCCTGAACTGTTCAAAAATGAAATAATTATTCCCTTAAAAAGCCATAACCAGATATATGGTGGCATGTGAGTTTCACACATTTGACACGTGGAAAGTCATCATATATAATTTCTTTTCATTTTTTATATTCCTTTACTCTTTTTTTTTATTATTTTCACCCATCCCTTCCATCACCAAAGCACTTTCACCATTTTCAACATTACTAAAACATCATAAGTTCATCAAAATTGGATCTTTGAAGAAGATGGCTGAATAATGAACTGAATCTTTGAAGAAGATAGGTGAATGATGATATCGGGATATTTGAACATTGCTTTGAAAATCTAAAAAACAAATTAAAAAAGTGAAGGAATAGGGGAGAGAGGATGAACGGGGCAGATTATTATTGCCATTAATGAAGGTCATCAAACTCTCGAGGAATATGAGGAGTCTTTGATGTCTTCCACATCATCATCGATAATTTCGAAGAGGAAAAACCTGATTCACCGACGATTGATGATTTAATGAGATTGATAGCGACAATTTGTGAGGTATAGTTGATTAACTGAGATTTGAGATTGATAATTAAAGGATCTATTAGGGGGAATGAATTTAAATTAAACCCAGATCACCTAGATAATAGTTCTTAAAAGGCAAGAAAGAAGAAAAATGGAGTGCCCCATTTTGCAATTTCTAGTGTTGCCTCCCAAATGAGGTGAAGATACGAACATAAATCGATCAATGAATTTGGAAGGAATGTTTCAAGAATCCTTGAATTCCAAAGAGATTAAGTACTTAATTTTTCTCAAATCAAATCTAAAGTAGTTTGAGGTGATATGAATATGTAAATTATCTACAATTGATTTAGGTTGATTGATTTTGCAAGAGTTTTACATGAGTTCAAAATTTTGTTTAAAATTAAATGACAAATTCATTGGAGATGGTGCTGACAACAATGGCTTAGAGATGGTGAAAGATGAAGATATTTGATTTATATTGATATGGAGAAGAAAGAAAACAAATAAGAACAAGAAATCATTTAAAATAAATATATTTACTAAAAAGATATATTTAAAACGAAATTTTAATATTGTTCAGGGAGGTAATAATTTCAGTTTTATAAAATTCAGGAGGTGATACCCCGTAAAGTATCAGTGTGTAGTTGGAAATCTGATTATAGATTTTTTGGGAGCGGCTTTTGGCCATTTTCTCTTTTGGTAAATAAACCTTTTATCATCAAACTTGGAAGAATTCATCTTAACAAAAACAAAATGTAGAACACATAAGCTTCAAATGCTGACTCCGTCTCTGTATATAATATCTCCACAATAATGAGCTTGACAAGCTCCAGGATACCATCAAATCCATATAGCTGCAGAATAAGAACACTCAAATAATAGATGGAAAGTTGTTGCATCCGTGTTGGATCCGATGCGCACTTGTTGATATTTTTGAAGAGTCCAACCACATAGCTTGAAATGATTCTGTGGATTGTAAGGCAGACATCTAAAAACTTGGTGACAAACTAGTCATATTAGTGATAACAACTAACTAACTAAGGTCGAAAAAAAGTCGAGGTGATCTATTGATTCCTAAAAGAAAGCTGATTCTGGAGATAGTGTGATGAAAGAGTTCATGGACTACCAGAACTAAGATTGTGGACTGTGCTAATAAGGAAAATGCAGAAATCAAGACTATATATATTGATTGAGGTTGACTTCTTTTACCACATTTTGTGTTACTCATAAATGTATCAGACAACACTTAATCATAAGAGCACTTCTGATAAGCAGAGAGATAGTCTAGAGAAATTGCATGCAAAATATTTTAGATGCCTAAAGGCCGAATACAAGAGAATATGAGGGAGGCGAGGGTATTAAAATCTCGCTATATACGTGGAGTGTGGTTCTCAATGACATTTCCTCTATATTCGTTTTCTGTAGTCAATCCAATTAGCAGAAAAGTTAGATTGGTTGGAGATCAGAAGTCATCAATATCCTTTTAAATAGTTCCATGATTGTAGTATACAGTAGAAAGTCATATTGAAGGACACCAAAACAAACAAGATAAATAAGGCAAAGCAAACTAAGTAAAAGCTTCACGTACCTCAAAGGTATCATCTTATCATTCTGATGTTGGAGTACATCTTTACATGTCCAAACAAGACTTCCGTCTTCCATTATAAGATGTTCATCCATATCTGCTAAAGACAGAACAAAACCTGTAAAAAGGAGGAGATTGTTAGAGCATGGCACTATCGTTCACAATGGCGGTAATAGGAAAAAAGATCTTCTGGAATTTAGGTTTTTAGATCTTGTTGGGGGATTTTTATGTCAGTGTAAAAGGTAGAGAATCTGATTTTTAAATTTTTGTTTTTTGATAAAGGTTTAGTTAAGAGAACTTGACTTATTGAGTATAGGATGCAGATATGTCTAGATGGACCGGAAGGGGTAGTGAAGATTCACATAGCCGACCCCGACTAGGTTGTGATTAAGACTTAGTTATATTTTTTTCCATTCATTGTCAAACGAACAGAAGAAAAAAAAATCAAACTTCACAAGAAATAATCAGAACTACCAAATAGAAGAGAGATGTATCAAAGACAACTCCTTTTGTTTTACAAGTCTATCAAAGGTGATGCTTGTGATGCTTTTTTTGGCATTTTCTGATATATATCCTCTAATAATTCAGCAATAATATTGCTTTAGGCCAACTATGTAAAAATGGACCAGCATGCAGTACAAGTTTGTTTTAATTCATCAATCTTAATCATCACATAAATAAAAAAACGACTACGGGCATAGTGTAATATGCTATTATTGTTGTCCTTGACGTCCAATATCAAAGATCAATTCAATGATTAAAGTAGAAACATTTGATGACCATATCTAACCATTCAGTGCAATCTGTAAAAAAGTTCTCATAAATACACACAAATTCCTGAAAATTGAAGACAAGTCTTTTAGTAGAAATAGTAATTGGTCACTGAGCAAAGAAACAAAGCTGCACTATCAATTTAGCTCCCAATTAGGCACATGTCACTGGTTCGAACCTTGCAACAGATAAACCTTGGTATCTAAATGGAGAAAGGGTAGATGAGCAGACCCATTATCCACCGAGTGTTGAGCCTTGCACCACTGCTCCTCGTTGATTTCTCAGTTATACGAAAATAGTACAATCGATTTGTATAGCAATATTTCTGATGTGTTTATTTAGTATCAAAAGGCAATGTTAAATATCAGAGAGAGAGAGAAGTGGCATCAATACAACAATTATAAGCAATCGATAAAAGGCATGAGATAATAGATTGTTGCGCTCACACTTGAAAGACTTTGGTACCATATGTGCCGTGCAGATCACCTTGTTTCTTCTTTTCTACTGTTCTTTTCTTCTCCTTCTTCCACTTCGGGTTATAAGTAGCCCAGATAGGTTTATGCTGTAGTACAGAATCACTTGTACCATCACTCTCATCCATCCATTACTAGAAAAAGAAATAACAGATTTAGAACAAGCAGGCAAGGGGTAGAAGGTATATGCATGTGCAATGGATAAATATTGACCACGTTACAACCTGCTACAAACATTCACCAATGCCATCACAAAGGAAGTTGTGCGAAACAACTTTAATCCGCTTACTGATACAACAAGACAGCATTGCAAATAAAGTAGAAAGCTCAGAAATATTCTATTGTATGTTGTCAATCTCGGTACGTCTTTGTCTGTACAGATGATTAGCCCTTGTTTCATCACCCCTCTCCAAGTGTCTTGCGATTAATTTCTTATAAACATGAATGCTTGGTCTCAAGGATTGACCAATCATTAAAGACAGAAATTCGTCCGCTTCTTTCAATCTCCCGCATTCACACAAAGCAATAATTAAATAATCAAAAATAGAAGTATTAGGAGAGATCGACCTATATTGCATTTCATAATAAAGCTTAAGTGCTCCCTCAACGTCACCGACGTTGGCATAACCAACAATGAGGTAACTATAGATGCTTTGATCTGGAATGAAACCCTTATCCATCAGAGTAGTCAATAGCTTATTAGCACACTTTGCACTTCCATTTTCAGAAAGCTTGGCAACAAGCGCATTAAAAGATAAACAACTAGGAAGGAGCCCATTTCCTATCATTTTATCACAAATTTTCAAGCTTTCTTCTAATCTTCCCACTTCTGAACAAACCTTAATCAGGTGATTAAATGTTTCACTAAATGGTTTCATATTCAAACACTCCATTTCGTCCATCAACTTAATCGCTTCATCTATCCGCTTCTCCTCACAATATGCCCCAATGAATGAATCGTACACCAGTGCATTCCCTTCAAAACCCCGCCTAAGCATTTCATCATAAACCCCCCAAGCAGACTCCAGATCTCTCATCTTCACCTTTGCAAGAACGATCAACGAACAAGAAATTGTATCAAGTATCATATTCTTTTGCAACATTCTCCTCATCAACCTTAACCCGTCTTCAATTCTACCTTCCTCAATCATCCCATATATCAAACACGTATTCACAACAACCCCAGGTCGACATCTTTTTCCATGACTTTTCTCCAAAACATCCAAAAATCTCTGTAACCTCCCTTGTTTGCACAAAGCACTAATCATAATTCTAGTTGTCATTTCATTCGGGTATATCCTTTTTTCAATCATATACTCATAGATACCCCAAACCATCGAAGTCTTTTCTGACTTTTGCACGACATGTAGCAGAGTATTATAACTAATTAAACTAAGCATAAATCCATTTCCATCCAACAATTTACAAACATCCAGACCCTTATCTATCATTCTCAACTTAGCACAACATTGCACAAACAAATCAAACACAAACGAACACGAATCAGCTAATTTATAACTTCCAATTAAACAAGCAAGAACACTAAACACATGTCCATCAACCCCTGATTCTTTCCTCAAAACAGATTCAATCAACGCATTGGCATGTCTAACAAGCTTAGATTTCGCAAGAATATGAATTATAATGCAATAAATGAAAACCCCATGTCGAGAATTAAAACTTTTTGCTGACCAATGGAAGAAACTGAGGGCATTTTTGGCATCATGAGGTTCTTTGAGCTGTAAGAGCACTTCTTGAACAATTGGGTCAGTAAAGTGAAAAGATTGAAACTTTTTTGTTAAGACTTGCCAATTTTCTCCTCTGCGTAGTGAATTACACATAGAAGTGATGATGGAGTTGTTCGAATTGGGGGAATTTTGAAGAGCTTGGAGTGAATGAGTTGAATATGGATTTTGGTGGAATTGAGTGTAGAAATGGGAAGTTTTTGTGAGTAAATTGGAAGCTAAAGGAGAGATTATACGAGGTGATAGGTTCATTTTTTTCCCATTTGAAGCTCAAAGAGGTAGTTTCATCTTCATGGCTGATTGAAGAGGATGACAGCAGAGCTTCATTTACGCAGATGGAAGAAAGGGGATTTATATCAAGAATGGGGGCGGTGATGCAGAGTGGCGCTGCGGATGGGAGGGTAGGTAGGGCGGCGGCGTCGCGGTGGAGGCGGCGAGTTGGGGAGGAAGAGCTGAACTGTTTGGATGAATTGGCTTAACATTGGCTTAACTCAGGATTTCGAAGATAAAAAAAATAGTTTTTTGGCTTAACTCATCATCTACGACCACTTAAAGTTGTCCACATATTTCACTTTAAACACCTCAACATATCCATTTTCCTATTAGACACTTCAACCTTACAAAATAAGTACCTATCAAGCATTTTTCTGACACCTAATTAAAAAATGAAGTGCATGCAACACACACAGTTGATGTGGCAAAATAACAAATTAAATTACAATATGTGACATTTTAATTTAATTATCTTAAATAAATGAAATTAAAATACCAAAAAATCTAAATCTAAAAAAAAAAGTATCAACCAGAAAAAAAAAAATCCACCTCACCCCCACCCACCCCAAACCTCCCCTTCTTTTCTTTCCCTTAAAAGATAACCCTTTCCACCATTGTTGTTGTTCATCTAAAAAAAAGTGGAGATTTTAACATATACTAACTAAGAATTTTTTATTTTTGTTTCTCTTTATCCCGTCTTTTTGTTCCTATTTGGAATTGATATTGTTATTTTTTTATAAAAATACGTTATAATTAATTTTGTTTTCGAATTTTGTTCTACTTTGTTGTGAAA